TATCTATCTATCTATCTATCTATCTATCTATCTATCTATCTATCTATCTATTTATTTTGAGAGGCCTCGACATCAATTCCCTTAGAGAACTTCAGGCTAGCCCATGCTACATAGGCAAGATCTATCTCAGAACAAAACAGGAGGAAGAGGATGACCTTAGGCTGAATCAACAGAAGTATAAAGCCTAGAATCTGGGAGAGAATTGTCCAGCAGAAATTCTGAAAATGGCTTGGATCTCTCACCCTCCTCTCTCTTTCCTTTCTCCCTCATTCCCTCTCCTCCAACCTCTCTGAATCGGAGCCTCAGGGCTCCATTCCCACAGCCACCCCTGTTTCTGGAATGCTAATAGTACCAGGGTGTGCCACTATGCCTGACTTTGCTTCCTCCTTCTACACAACTGGGGCCAGCCAGGCCTGTGCCTTGGGCCTTCTGAGGGGTATTTAAAGGCAGGATCCACACCCTCTGAGGCCCTGAGCATCTAGGCCTCATTTGTGCTGTGTTCACTCCTCAGGACTGGTGCCATCCATGTGGGGGACCGCATCCTGGCCATCAACAGCGTGAGCCTCAAGGGCCGGCCCCTGAGCGAGGCCATCCACCTTCTTCAGGTGGCAGGGGAGACTGTCACGCTGAAGATCAAGAAGCAGCTGGACCGTGAGCCTTACCCTTTCCTGGGGACTTCCTGGCCTACAGAGGAAGGGCAGTCCTGGGTCAGGCTGTGGGCCACCAGTCTGGAAATGGGGTGGGGTCCTCTGGATCAGCTGATGAGGAGGCTTAGAGAGGAGTGCTGTGCCTTGGTGGCACCGTGCAGTATGGGGTACATTCTGAGTCCAAACCATGCTCCTTGTCAATTTGTGTCTCTTCAGGTTCCTGCGTGTTCCTGTGTCTTGTGTTCTATGTGTGCTACAGCTTCCCCAAATCTTGGGGTCCTGTTTTAGTCTGGGATCCATTGTTGTTCAATGTATGACCTTCACTGTATGTTCAGCCCTTCAAGTCTGTTTTCCCATCTTTGTGAAGGGTTTACTTACTTACTAGTATGCCCCGCCCACATGGCAGCAGGCAGGTTGTCACGTGCCTGGGAGTTCCCAGAAGTGGGGAAACTGAGGCTCACAGAACATCTGTGTTTCTGAAGTCATAGGTGATACTTCTTCTCTCCCCAGGACCCCTTTTCCCTCGTCAGTCAGGCAGTCTCAGTGAGGCCAGTGATGTGGATGAGGATCCCCCGGAGGCCCTCAAGGGAGGCTTGGTGACAACCCGCTTCTCCCCTGCTGTACCCAGTGTGGACAGTGCTGTGGAGTCCTGGGGCAGTAGCTCTGCCACAGAAGGTGGCTTTGGGGGCCCAGGTAACGCAACAGGGGCCTTGGACAAGCCCTTGTGAAGGTGATCCTGCTGCCTGCTCTTCCTGGCACCTTCTTTTCCTGTTAACCTTTTCCTTCAGAGAAGGCTCCTGAGGGCATCCTGACTAACTCTGCCCTTCACCTGCCCCTCAGAGGGACCCGCAGTCCTGCCTTTCCTCGCATGAGCTGGGGACAGAGCCACTTTTATTTCTGCTCTCTCTCTCCTTATCCCCACGTCTAGCACACAATAGGGTATCAATTCATGTTCAATGCACCCAGTTGAAGATGGTTGAAGTTAGGGCCTTTGGCTTTCCCTGAGTGTCCCCATCCCAAGCTGCAGGCAGCAACTCCCGGCTTCTAGTCAGCACTCAGCAGGTAGAGCTGGGAGTGTGGTCCAATCAGAAACGCCCTTTCAAAGAGGCCCTTGAGCTGACCACCTGTGGAACTGACCATGGTCCTGGAACCTCAATGCTAACTGCTGGACTGATGGATGGATGGTCCAAGGGCTTGCTAGGGTGGCAGGGACTCCGGGTCTCTCCGAGGTTACTTTGGCCTGAGAAAAGCACAGGCCTGCCCACTGGCATCCGATCATTGGGAATGAGGGAAGGCAAGGCAAGGATAGAGAGAAGGTCCACATCTTTCTCTCTCTCTCTCTCTCTCTCTCTCTCTCTCTCTGCCTGCCAGGCTCCTACACTCCGCAGGGGCCAGTCCGGAGTGTCACTCCCCAGGAGTGGCGTTCCGGTAGATTGAAGAGTAGCTCCCCACCCCTTGAGCCCCGGAGGACGAGCTACACACCAGGCCCAGCTGACGAGAGCTTTCCAGAGGAAGAGGAGGGGGAATGGGAGCCACCAATGAGGTCTGTGGTAGGAGCACTTCTGGTGGGGGTCGGGGGGAGGGAGCCAGAAGGTAGCAACACCAGGACTTGGGAGCTAGGGAGACAGAAGATCATCCCTGGCCTGAGGAAAAGATCTGGGCTGAGCTTAGCTAGAAAGGACACCTTGTAGGAAGATAGAAGCAGACATGTCCTAGTGAGGCAGCGGCCTGGCTTGTTCCTTCCCAGGTCTGGGACTAGCTGTTTTCAGAAATACAACGCAAGACTCAGAATTTGAACCCAGAGCCCTCCTCAGATAGATTGCATGATTGTGACTCTCGCTTCACAGCCACCAGCCCCAGGCTGTGTGTGTTGCATGTCTATAACTGGGCCCATAGCAGCCAGCTCCCACAGAGTGGGTTCCATTAAGAAACAGCCATGCCTCCTCTGTCGGGGTTCACCTCTACTCTGGGCTGCACTGTCCTCCCTGAAAGCAAAGAAATGAAGTCTTTGTAAGTCACAGTGTGGCAGATGCCTAGGGGCTCTGAGAGCTGCCCGGGTACGTCCTGAAAGCTTGATGCTAGATTTCTTGATAGGTACTGTCCACTCCTCCCCAGAACAAATATCCCATCTTCTCCATCCATCTGTGTCCTGGCTGGTTCTGGCTCTGTCCTGTCACTGTCCCGTGGTGCTATGTGTCTGGGTGGGGCCAGGGACTGCCTTCTGGGCTATCAAATGGATCTTTCTGTCTGTCTCTGTCTTCTGTCTGTCCGTCTGTCTTTCTTCCCAGGCATCCTGTGTCACCGCTCTCCACCGCGCCTCATCTGCCCCTGTTCTAATTGGCCACCAACAGTCTTGGTTGCCCTTAACTGCATCTCCCCACTCCCCCATTCTGTGTCACCAACCACTGCCCTGGGGCCCCAGCACTGTCACCGAGGACACCCGCCTGCCTGCCTGCCCGCCCCATGGCTCTTGGAGCTCAGCACTGGGCCCTGGGCAATGAAGACTCCTCAGGCCCAGCCCGCCTACCCTCCCGCCTGGCAGGAGTTGACGCTGTGGTTCCTGTTGCAGCCCAGCCCCTGGCCCCGCCCGAGAGGAGGGCTTCTGGAGAGTGTTTGGAGAGGCCCTTGAAGACCTGGAGTCCTGTGGTCAGTCGGAACTTCTAAGGGAGCTGGAGGTACCGACACCTTGCCAAGGGACCTGTGGGAGCACCATGTCTGTCCACACTGGAGGGTTGGGGAAGGCTACGCATCAGTGGGGGCTTGTTCCTGTGTCACCAGAGGATGCGTGGTACCTGTCTCTCTTATTGCTGTGATAACATACCTGACAAATCCACTTTAAAAAGGAAAGTTTGGGGCTGGAGATGATAAGAAAGCACTTATTCAGAGCCCTAGAAACCCATGACAGTGCAGAGTGGGCATGACAGCCTACCCACTAATTCCAGCCTCTGGGAGGAGAAGTCAGGGCAGCCCCAGACCAAGCTAGTTAGCAAGCCTAGCCGTGACGGATGAGCTCTAGGTTTGATTGGGACACCCTGCCTCAACCACTAAGATAAAAGAACAATCGGGGCGGTCCTGGACATCAACCTTAGACCTCCGAGAGCACTCAGACACCCATGCCTGTGCACCCCACACACGTGCACATATCCCCATGCAAATATGCGTCCTCACATGCGTGCACCACCCATGCACACATGAGAAATGGGAAGGGGGGGGCAAAGAACTCATTTTGGCCCACAATTCTAGGATGCAGTCTGTCATGCCAGGAAAGCAGAGCAGGCAAGGGCTCGGGAGCGCTGCTCGCTGTGCCTGCAGTGACGGAGCAGAGACCTGAGTGCTATGCTTGCGTCTGCTTTCGATTTTCCTCGGTCCCGAGTTCCGAGTGGCTCTACCCACCTCACTTAACGCACTTTAATGGGCATGTCCGCAGGTTTACCTCGTTCTGAATCCTGGCAGGTTAACAATCAGTATTAACTGTTACAGTGTGTGTGCTCTCACCTGGGCACCCTGGGTGTAAAGGGGTCTTTACACACAGGCAGGTGTGAGGGACGTGCACACTCGTGCAGAGTGTCCTCAGGATGTCTGAGTGTGTACACGGACGTGCCCTGACGCCATCCTGCTGTCTTTGTGGATGTGTGCCATGCGCACAGATGGCATGGCGGATGAGGGGCGATGGGGGCCAGCTTTGGGTGAGGTCACCATCAGTCGCATAATGGACAGTCGGATCTGACAAACCCATTCTGAGTTCAAGCTCTGCTTCATCTGTGCTTCCCCTCCCTGCCCCCGCCATTTTATTCTAGTGTTGTTGATTGGGGCCACTCCCCATTTCATCAGCCTTGCTAATGACTGACCAGGTTAAAAAAACAAAAACAAACAAACAAACAAAAACCTCCTGTTTTGGTTTTTTGATCTTTTCCATTTGTTTTCTGCTTTGCTCATTTTGATACTCATTTTCTTAGACATTTTTTACGTATAAGCAAAGATGCATGACCTAGTATCTTGGCTATTTAATCTCCATCCTTCTTTCTTCATATAATACATTTTCAAAGCTATAAGTTGACCTGTGAGCCTTGATTTGACTGTGACCTCATCAGTTTTGTTTGTAGTACCCTTGTTGCCTACTCAGTATCTACTATTTTAATGTTTTCCACTGTCACATTGACTTAAGCCTTAAGCCCCTGACATCTACAAAAATGAAAGTTTGGGGTTGTATTAGTCAGGGTTCCTATTGCTGTGACAACCACCACAACCAGTAGCAGGTTGGGGAGGAAAGAATTTCTTCCATCTTACTCTTCCACATCAGAGTACGTCATCCAGGGGAGTCAGGGCAGGCACTCAGGACAGGAACCTGGAGGCAGAAGCTGATTCAGAGACCATGGAGGAACTCTGCCTACTGGCTTGCTCCTCACGGCTTGCTTTAATTTGCTTTCTTTCACAGCCCAGGACCTAGGGGCAGCACCTTTCACAGTGAGCTGGGTCCTCTCACATCAATCACCAAACAAGGAAATATTCTGCAGGCTTGCCCACAGGCCAATCTGGTGGGGACATTTTTCTCAACCCAGGCTCCATCTTCCCTCATCCCATTGACATAAAAGTAGCCAGTACAGGGGTTTTAACTGCTAATACTGCCTTCTTTAATCTATCTTCACTGCACTAAGCCTCCTCTTGGCTTTATTTATTCCAATATCTAACCCTTTTTCTAGAAATTGTGCTTTAATTTTTATAGCTTTGATTTCTCTATCGTCTCTGTTTTTCATGTCTTGGGATTTTCTTTCTTAACATCATTTCCTTTTTGGCTTCTTACTTGTTTTTATGGTTTAATCAAACTTAAAGTTTCTCTTGTATTTTCTATTAGCTCCAGCTTCCAGGGTACGGGCTCACCTACTTATTGTGTCTACAGTCATGGTTTGGGTCTGCTTCTCTGCTGTGTCTATAGACACAGCGAGGGTTCACCTGTTTGTTGTATCTGCTGTCATGGCTCAGGTTCACCTACCTGTTGTTGGATCCATGGTCAAATGGGCTTTTAAACTTCATTGTTGTAACTGCTTTAGCTGCGGTTGGTTGTCCAAGGACTCTGTGCTCTGTGGCACTAGACTGTCTCTGGCATCTAAAGTCTTTGAACTTCACTAGTTCCAAAGGTTTGGAACATTACCTTCTCAGCAACTGTTTCTGCAGTACTGAGGAAAGCAGATTTAGCTTCACATTCATGCAGAGGTGAAGGCAACATAAGTGATTCTACCACCCCATGCCCAGTCACGGCTGGTCCCTTCTGCACCCATGTGCTGGCAAGCACACTTTTTTTTTTTGTTCCCACCCAGACACAGTAACTTCCTGCTTTCAGTCAGCATTTTTTTTTTTTTTCTCTCTGAGTGGTACTCAGCTGCTAACATACATTTCAGACCCATTATCATCCTCGGCTCTCTGAATTCCATAAGTAAATGGTTCCTTTTCTACTCATACCTGTCTTCAAATTTTTCATCCTTAATTTAAAAAAAAAAAAATGTTTTAAGTTCATCTAGCTAACTCTCTCTGTGATTGGATAGAGATGTAAATTACCTCCACCAGCTTATTACCTGGATTTCTAAAGGTACAAGAGCTAGGATGTGTGTGAGAGAGAGAAAGAGAGAGGCATAGGCAGAGGCAGAGAGACAAACAGAGACAGACGGAGATGGTGGAGGTGGGGGGCATGTCACAAACCCTTGCTTACATCGCCAGAGGTCAATGTTGGGAGTCTTCTTCATCGTCATCAATCGCTCACCACCTTGCTGTTGCTGCTTTTCCTTAAAGATTCACTTATTTTTATTTTATGTGTCTGAGTGTTTTGCCTGCACGTATGTGTGTCCCACATGTGTGCAGCTCCCGCAGAGGCTGGAGAAGGGCATCAGAACCTCTGTAACTGGAGTTGCCTAGGTTGTGAGTGCTGTGTGGGTGCCGGGAGCTGAATCCAGGTCTTCTGCAAGAGCAGCCAGTACTCTTAACCACGGAGGCATCTCTCCAGCCCTTCCTTTTACTTTTTTTCTCCAACTCTTCTATTTTGAGATAGGGTTTCTTACTGAACCGGGGACTTACCACTTTGGCTAGACTATTTGGCCAGTGCGCATTCAGCCCTATCCTCTGTACAGCCCTAGGATTATTGATGCACTCTTCCATGCCTTCTTGGGACCTTGACTCAGGTTCTTATGCTCAGCAAGCGCTTTCCCCACTGAGCTACCATGTAAGCTCTCTACTCTCTAAGGACTCGTATCCCAAGATCTCAAGTCTCTGGGCTGTACTGGTGGACCCGGGCCCTCCAGGAGGTGAGGACTAGCTGAAAGAGATCTGGAAAGACACCTACATCCACACCACCAAGGTTTTCCCATTACAGTCCTATCTCCGTCCTCCTTTCCTTCCTGATAGCCTGGCCGGCATTCTCAGTCTCCCTTGCCCTTAGAAGGTCACCAGTGCCAGACAGAATGATATGCTGAAGTGGAGACTCAGATACCATGAAGACAGACGTTTCTAGGCTACGGAGATATCTGTGGGCCTGGGGAGTTAGCTGACAATCACAATGGGAAAGGCTCTTCCCCCTATGTTGACACCTCTGTAGTCTGTGGATGTCCCTTTCTGAATGTGATGTTTCCGGCACACACACACACACACACACACACACACACACACACACACACACACACGCTGGGCACTTCTGACTCTGCTCGCTGCCGCATCCCATACCCACAGCCTTTCTTATCTCCATCCTTGTGCAGATGACCCTTTTCCTTTGACTTTTGCTTGGCAACTCCATGCTCCCACCATGTCCTTCCTGGTCACCATTCATACTAAATATGCACATCTGTTCCTGCTCACCAATTGCTTGCTTCAGAGTCACCCTATTGTCACCCTGAGATCAAAAGTCATATAGTTACTGTGAGCTGCCAGGTGCGGTAAGACCCTCACCATCCAGGCTTTTGCCGGGTCCCCTCTGCCAGGGCCACTCTTGTCTCCCCTTCCTGTTCTTTGACATGTCAGCTCTGGAGGCATTGCTGACTCCTCCCTCTGTCCTAGACTCTCAGTTCCTATGAGCCTTGCTGATACAAGCTGAGGCACAGAACACCAACTGTGGAGTCAGGTTCTGAGTTCATATTCTCTCACTAAACCTATTTATCTGTAAAAACAGAGAAAATGGCTTGGTACTACAGAGCACGAGATAAATTAGACTTCTAATTGCTGAGAACTGAGCCTGGCACAGAGCAAATGTTAGTCTGTCATGACCCCCAGAGGCTCTTGTTCTGATCCTGTGATTGGTCAACAACCCTGAAGACAGGGACCTCATCCCTCATCCTCTGTGTTCAGCCTGTGACTGAGTGCCTGCCTGACAGAGCTGGATGAAGTAAGTATATGATGTCTGAGTGGCAACCGTGTCCCCCACAGGCTTCCATCATGACAGGCACTGTACAGAACATGGCTGTGCATAGCAGGCCTGGCTCTCGGCCCTGGCGCCGGAGCCGGGAGGTCCGAACATCCCCCGAAGACCTGCAGGAGCTGCTGTTGCCAACGCCCCTGGAGATGCACAGGGTGGGCACTGGGGCTAGGGGCTGCAAGCAGGCACGGAGCATGGGCACTGGGGGCCTGGTACCAGGAGGACCTTCGCTACTTGGGATGCTGAAGGTCCCCCACCCTTTGTTGGGCTTTATTCTCCCTCACCATAGAACAGGGGCCTAGGGGCTAGAAAGATGGCTTAGCAGCTAAGAGCACTGGCTGTCCTTTCAGGGGACCCAGGTTTGATTCCCAACACCAACAGCAGCCAGAAATCACCCCCTCCTCTAGCCTCCAAGGGCACCAGGCACGCAAGGGTATGCAGAAATACATGTAGGCAAAAATAAAATACACATAAAATAATTTAAAAAACCAAACCGACCAACCAACAACAAAAACACTCAGAGATTTTATTAGGTTTTCCATAATTCTCACCGTTTGAGTAATTATACCCCACACCTGCATACGGGCAGATCCATGATACACAACGGGCATTCCTCACAAACTTTTTATCCCTGTATGTATATATGTACACACAAATGTGTATGTTATATACAGACATCTGTATACACACATCAAGGTTACATTACATATATGTATATACAGTTAGTCCTCCCTATGAACAGGTTCTGAATTCAGTCCAACACAAATGAGACGTATTCAAGGAAAAACTGGGTACAGTGGTACAGGTCTTTAATCCAAGCAAGTGGGAGAAAAAGGCCAGCGGCTCTCTGTGAGTTCAAGGCCAGCCCTGTCCACATAGCAAGTTCCAGGCTAGCCAGAGCTACATCTCAAAAACAAAACAAAACAAAACAAAAAGTAGCAGCGGGAGGGGGCAGTATCATCTGCATTGAACACAGGCTGACTTTGGACTTCATCCCTGGAGCAGTGCGCTGTGAATCGTCTCCGTAGCACCAGCAGTGAACGAGGTCTCAGAAGCCTTCTGGAGATGGCTTGAGCATGTGGGTGGGCAGGCACAGGTTCTGTGCAGATCCCACACCACTGAGCGTCTGCAGTTTGGGGGATCCTCAGAGGATCCCGGAGCTGGTCTCCTGCAAATACCGAGGGACTGCTTTGCAAGTGACTGTAGACAGATGATGGATATCATCTTACTCATACCACGGGTATCTCTCGCACCTGTGTGTAGCTGTGTGAGAACCAAGACATCAGAGCACATGCCAAGGCCAGGGGTTTGCCCAGGGTGGTGAAAGCACCACAATTTCTTGCTCCCCTTTCTAAGGGATCCCTTAGGTCTGGGACCTGCAGGCTGCATATGGCAAGGTGAATGTCATAGGGCACAGGCTCAACAGGCTGCTGAGGGCAGCCTGAAGTATGGCTCGCCAGTAGGCTGGGTCTGGATCCCAGGGACTAAACGTGGATCGGAGCAAAGGTCATTCCTCCTCCTCCTCCCAGGTGACCCTGCACAGGGACCCGGTGCGGAACGACTTTGGCTTCAGTGTCTCAGATGGCCTCCTGGAGAAAGGTGTCTATGTCCACACTGTCCGAGTTGACGGGCCGGCCCAGCATGGAGGCCTGCAGCCCTTTGACAGACTCCTGCAGGTAACTCAGAGGAGCCCCAGCACAGGCCCAGGACAGGGCCCTATTCTCACTGTGAAAGCATGTGGAAAAGCCAGTGGGATGGATCAGGTGATGCTGTTCACACCAGAACTGAGGTTCCACTTGCTGTTGACTCCCTGGTTGATGGAGGGCCCGCCTGTCTAGTAACTGTCCCTCTGAGACACGGGACATCCTTAGACCCCATGATGTAGGAAATCAGCTTGTTTTGTCTGCCTTCACTCTAAAACATTGTATGACAGGTTCTCTTCCCAGAACCAGCCATAGGATCTAACAGAAAGAGAGCCTGGAAAAGAAAGTCTTGCCTGACTTAGCCTCCCTAGGCCGCCCTTCCCTTGTTCCAGCTATTTTTGTTCCCTTGTTGATTTTGTTGTATTTGTACTAAGCATACATAATTTATGTTTTCTCTATTTATGGGTAGGGACAGGACCTCATTTCAGAAAAAATCACACAGTTTTGATGTATCAATGAAAAACACAGCTCTCACTTCAAAGGGGATGAGGGAGTTCACTCTGGAACCATGAGTGACTGAAATCAATAGTTTGTGTTTTGTTTTGTTTTTTTTTAATACTGGTGGATCTATCAGAAACTTATGCATTAGGCCCTAGATGCCATCTGATGCCATTCTTAGTTTGGGGGTTGGTGGAAGCTCATGGTCACTTGATCATTGAAGGATGTTAGGTCCAGGGATAAGGGATAAGGGATGGCTATTCCATGGGACCTCAAGATAAATTCCAAGCTTCGGTCTTGCAATATCCCAACCTCTCTCCAACTCTATAGTCAGTCCTATATGTGCAGCTTCCTTCGAGAACTTTCACTCACCGGGACTCTGTCCCTCGGCTGTGCACTGCGCAGGTCAACCATGTTCGCACGCGGGACTTCGACTGCTGTCTGGCGGTTCCACTCCTGGCAGAGGCTGGGGACATTCTGGAGCTGGTGGTTAGCCGCAACCCACTGGCACAGAGCCGCAGGACACCACGAGCACCAGGCCCCAGCAGTCCCCAGATGCTCTGAGGTCATTGCATAGCTCAGCTGGAGGAGTGGCCCCTACTCATCCACTTGTGGGTCTCAAGATCTCAGACCCATCAGAGTGGCATCTTCAAGTTGGATCTTCAAGATGCTCAGAGAAACCCCAAGGAAAAGGGGTCGGCCCTGCTGCTCAGCCAGGAGAGAGTCAGAGATTTCTCCAGATCCCTTCACAGTCACCGAAGAGCTGCAACAGTAGTGGGGACATTCCAGCTTAGTGTGGGAACTGGAATGGGCTGCCAGTGTTTACCATCCTGGGAGGTTGATCAGCAGGAGGCAGACAGTCCTAGTCTGTGGCGGGAGGCATTTGGTGATCCAGCTATATAGGTGGTACCCAGTACACGGATGGGGACCCTGCCACCAGGAAGGATGTGGCACATTGCGAACACTGTCTTCCTTTCTCCCAAATCCTGGTGTTATGAGAGCCTCCAGAATGCAGCGACCATGTTGGAAAACCCCAACTAGGAACATCTAAGATGCCAGGAAATGCTAGCCCTTTCCTTCAGGTCAGTGGCTCAATCATTTCAGCTCCATGGGTGATTTTGAACTTTAGAGCAGAGCTGTGGCCATCAACCCTCCTGTGCCAAAAAACTAGAGCCCCTGTCTCCCTCCAGAGAAGGGCACTGCTCGGGGTCAAACAATCCAGGAGCATCTACTCACCTGCTATTCCAACAGACCTGGAAAGCCATGGAAATAAGGCTGAGTCACAGCTCTGCCCCCAACCCCATCAGTGGAAGGGAGAAAGAGGAAGAGGAAAAAGAAGCTGGGGTGGAGTGTCCAAAGAGACTATTCAGGGAGGTCCCCACTTCACAGCTTGATGGCCAGCATCCCTTATCTCGGGCTTCCTCTATCTCTACCAAGCAGAACTCTTTCAGCTTCAAGCCGGACACAAGCCACTTCCTAGTGGGCTGGGCTGGTCTCGGGATTGGCTTTGCATTTGCCCAGCTCAAGGTCTCAAGGACCCAGGGGCCTCCAATCTTACCCCATCTCCTCTCTCAGCCTTTGAAGCTCATTGCCAGAAAGACTCCCTGTTCTAGGGGACAGATGGAGGCCCAAGAAGCCATTCTATTCCGGGTTTCCTTCTTGGTTGTGACCTTGAGTGGATCTGAACAGACACAGGGCTGTCTCTAGCTGCCCGCTGAGACTCCTCAGCTCTCTGCTTTCCCTCAGCTGAACCCACAGCCGTTCATGGTGGCTTCCCCAGGGTCTCTCATGTCTGAGTCCAGGCAACCCAGTGTCTCCGCTTTCACTCCCCCAGGGTAAAAAGATACTGCCCATGGCTCATGGGCACCAAACAAACCAAGACCTTCAAGCTTCGAGGGTAGGTGAGTGACACAGCAGAGAGGCGACTTCTGGCCACCAGCACCTGATACTCTCTGATCTTGGGCTGACGGCTCAGCCTCTCTGGGCTTCTGATACATGGCATGACTGACTGTACTCTAAAGGCCTCTTGGGAAATCTGTGTTCTATTCAGACTCCAGGCTCCAAAAATACAAGCACTGCCCTCCCCTCCGGCTGAGCCTCTCCCATCCTCCCAGACATATGCAACAAGGCCAAGTGGGTGGACCTCGTGGCCATGGCCTGAGGCCTTCTTCATATGCAATATCCACCCCCTGGCTTCTCACAGGGGTGTTCGCCCCACACAACGTCCCTAGCCCCCTCTCCAGTGAGCATCCTGCCTGCCTATGCATTTTGGGTACCTCCCCTATGACACCCTGCCCCCACCCCCAGAGCTGTATTTTTCTCTGGCTAAGATTAGAACATATTCCTTGTAAAGTATTTTTCTATGCGGGTTTTCTTAGGGCTCCCAGGAAGCACCCAGCACACTCATGGCTCCACTGGACAGGCTGTTTCTGGTCCGTCTGTGGCCCACGTATAAATCTCTGTCCCACCAGACATCACAGTGACTGGGGGGAGGTGAGTGCTAATGGGGTGAATTTTTAATAAAATTGGTTAAACGCACAAAGAAGGTTGTTTGCTTTATAAAAGTAACAGGCTGGCAAGGTTCAGTTTCTGTGTGAATTGTTCAGCTTCTCAACTTCTTTTCATTGATTCATTTATTCATTCATTCATTAAGTGGTCCATGGAGCTGAAGAGATGACTCGGTGGTTAAGAGCTTTTGGTTCTCTTGCCAAGGACCTGGGTTTGTTTCCATGAACTTACATGGTGGCTCGTAACTCCAGTGTCAGGGGACCTGACACCACCCTCTTCTGACTCCTGCAGGCATCAGGCACACATGTAGTGCACATATATACATACAGACAAAACATTCATACATATAAAATGAAATAAACATTTAAACAAAAATTACTGGGCCACTTGGGGGGCTGGAGATATAGCTTAGAGCTTAAGAGCATTTCCTGCTTTTCTGGAGGACCTGGGTTCAGTTGAGCTTACACCCACCCAGACTTCAGCTCCCTCTTCTGGCCTCCATTAACACTGCACTCACAGGCACATACCCCCCCCCTCGCCCCAACACACAAAAAATAAAAGTAAATCTTAAACAGAAAACAAACAGGTGCTGTGCATCCCGGTGAGTAGTGAGCTAGTCATAGCCTTTTCAGTAGGCATAAAGAACAGTGAAGAAAACACAACCTTCTGGAACAGAGTGGCTGGACTAAGGACTGCAGCCCAGGAGGGGCTTTCTCTGGAGGGATGGTAGTCACAGTGAGAACTGTAGGACAGAAGCCAACCCTGTACAGACCTGGAGGAAGTTTCCCAGGTAGGGGAGACAGGGCAGCAAGGGCAAAGGACCTGTGATATGAGGCGTCTGGCAGGTTCTAGGGCCCAGAGGGGTGGTAGCAATGGAAACCAGGCTTCGGGTTGGGTTTTGTTTTAGCCTGTGCAGCCAGGGCACCTTTGGCCTTGGTGAAGGGAGGTGCCACGTGAGTAGCAGCCCGCAGGTCTAGCTGTTGCTCCCAAGTCTTGAGGATCTAGGGCAAGGTAAGGTCACTTGTTCTGGGTCCAGAGAACAGGGCCAGGCCCAAGGAATGGGGGAATTTGCAGATCTAAGGGCAGAGAGAAGCTGTTCTCTCAGGTGAGCTCCTTGTCTTGGGGAGTCTGTAGCAGCGAGGGCCAGCACCGTCCACACAACCTATGTGCCAAGCACAGCTCTCAGCTTTGCAGGTACAGTCAGGATCCTCCTGGCAGCCTTCAGAGGACGACAGTATCCTCATTACAGAGGAGGGACCAAGGCACTGAAAGGTGCCGAGACTTGCCTGAAGGAACACCGGGGGAGCCATGGTCCAAACAAAAGCCAACCAGGAGGGGAGGCAAACACTGACCATCAAAAAGCCTGTGGGAACACGGTGGTGAGCTCCTGGCACCACCCGGGAGCAAGCCTCCTGTCTGTGAGCTTCCTCTCAGCAGTTCTCATTTCTGCAAATGCAGGGAACATCCCTTATATGAAAAACCTGAACTCCAAAATGCTCCAGAATCTGAAACTGGAAGCATTGATACCCTAACATGTGGATAATTCACGCCTGACATCATGTAACAACCCAGCCAAGACAAAGATTGTTAGAACAGAGGAAAAAAAAATAGTTCTGTGACTGTCTGATTAAAGTAAGCTGTATTAGAAATGGCCAGCCAGCAGCTTCTCCCAAAGTTGGAGTTTCAGAGAACAGCCCCTCATTGACTTTTGAGGTCCCTTTTATGGGGAAGGGTCATGGTTGATAGAATACAGCTGTTGAGATAATCAGCTGTTAGCACCTGGGCAGAAGAGTGGGGGACCCAGGGCTCAAGGCTGTTTGTGGGGTAGATAAGTGCAAGAACGTATCATGTGGAAGGGGAGGCATCAAGGTATCTGGGAAGACACATTTTTATAAGGCAAGAGGGCAATTATATATCGCAGGTTCAGGAGTTTAGCAAGGCAAAGGGGTAGGTATATATCATGGGGTCACAAGTTCAACAGAGGTTGAAAAACATGGTTTTCAGAATACATCATGCTTGGGAAATGGAAACTTGTTCCTGTAAAGTAAGGAGACTTGATAATGTATAAAAGAACAATGTGTTCCTGTTTTGGTTTTACAGTGCCAGCTGTGTGGGGTGGAGATGGTTCAGTCCAGGTGATGTACTTGGCTTACAAGCATGAGGACCCAAGTCTGATCATCAAAACCTGTACGAAAATGCCAGGCAGGGCCTAGAGAACAGTTTAGTGGTTGAGAGCTCTTGCCGCTTTTCCAGGAGAAGAGGTTTGGTTCCCAGCACCCACATGACAGCTCACAACTACCTGGAACTCCTTCTTCCAGGGACTCTGATGCCCTCTTCTGGCCTCTGTGGGCACTGCACTCATGTGCACATAAAACCACCCCACCTCAAGTTTTTAAAAAGCCAGGTGAAATCGTTCTTGCAATCCCTTAGCTTTGGAGGGGAGACAAGTGAATGCCCAGGGGTCCCCAGGCCAGCTTATTCTAATTAGCCAGTCCCAAGTTAGTGAGAGACCCTGTCTCAAAAACCAAGATCAGCAAAATGCTCTTAACAGCTGAGCCATCTCTCTAGTCCCAGTGGAATCCCTTTATAAACTGTAGAGTACATGCCAGAATGTAGAGGTGAACTCTAAAACACTCCACACGTTCTTGGATTTTAAAAAGGAAATGTTTATTGTTGTGTTACAAGGTGATTATAAACTCCTCTAAAAAAAGCAAAGATGGATTTAAAATATCAATATACATATTCATCTAAAAAGCAAAAGAGGAAAAAAAACCCGAAACCCTGCAAAATGCAGGGTCGTCATCATTATACATCAATACACAGAGCTTGTATACTGCAAGACAAGTCACACACCAAGGATCCTTCAAACATGAACGCTCCTCCCCTTGTTGGTTGGTTTCAGGTTTTGTTTTGTGTGTGTGTGTGTGTTTGTTTTTTAGTTTTTTATTTTTTACAAAAGTTTAAAATATCTTAAAAATATTTTGAAGTTTTAAAAAATGTCCTGATGAGCGAGACATAATTCTGAAGGAGGCAAAACCCATGTTCTCAGCTTTCTCTTGTGCTAAATACAGTCACAGTTGTTAGGGATTGAAAAGATTAATTGGGTTTAAAAAAAAAATGGAGCTACCATCTCATTTTGAAGCCAAATATATAACAAGATGCTCTGTCCTTCAGGGAACATGCCAGAACATGCCTGTAATGACACCACCACCACCCCTCCTCCCTCCCAGAGAGCATGGAAAACCAGCTTCCTGCGAAGACCTGACTCCTGGGAGGTCAGCATGGAGGAGGAGCGGTGGGAGCACTGCTCTGGCTTCCGGGGCACCCCTCTCCATCTAGGGGTATCTGGGTTTGTTTTGTGTGTGGTTTTGGACTTGATGAAGGAGAGGTGTGCACACAGAGGTATTTACAGTGTCCGTAGGGACAGGGGTCTCAGGTTTGAGTGGGACTGTGAAGGGCTTTCTCTAAGGTGCCTTCCTGGCTTGGGTCTGCATCTTGGAGAGAGGAACCAGGCTGGCTGTTTAAGCCTGTTTCAGCTGGTTGCCTAGAGCATTGCCCCATCCAGAAGGGCAGGGCTGGAATGCTGTTGGCCTCATTAGTGACAGCCTGTGATAGAGAAAGCCCCTTCCTATACAGAGGAGAACACATGCTGCTTTCTCCTCATGCTTTGCCATGGTCTGCATGGCCTTCCAGGGTGGGTTAGGGAGCTGAGGTGAGGACTGAGGGCCAGAGGCTTAGAGAGAACCCACCATATGATCTTACCAAGAGGGAAAGAACCCCTCTCAGGCTACTCCTGCAAAGCCTTGGACTGCATGGAGGCCAAAAGCCTGCCTAAGGCTTTTCACAGTAGATGTGTCTTTGGCCCTCAATTTCCTGTGGTGCAATTTGGGAGTAGTGGTGTATCAATTCCTGGTTCCCATAGGTTTTGGGGAGGAAGGAAGGATAACATTGGGCTGGGGCGAGCAGGAGAGGATGGTCGTAAGTGGGTATTGCTCTCTGCTCCATGAGCATGGGGGCAGGGGGCCCTCATTAGTTCTGGCCTTTGGTTGACAGGGAAGGCCGGACAATTTACTTAGAAAATGCCCTGGTCCTGCCTTCCCTCTGCCTACACCTTGGAGAGCCTGGAGCTACTAATGACTCTAATGTCCAGTTCCACTCAGTCACGTTTTAAGTCTCTCCTACTCTAGGACTCAGTTTTTCTGCTTACAAAGGTGCCTTGGATTGGGGGCCCTCTGAAGCCGTCCACAGTGCCCAGTAGGGATCTTCCACTTGGGGGCTAACATAGCTCTTAGGACCAAATAACATCTCCCAGGAGAGTCCTCCTGGGCCCACCCTGGTCCTCCTCTAAGCCTGGCAGTGGGCTTTGCTTCCCGTCTATATCTCACAGGCAAAATCTGGCCTGTTCCAGGCAAGGGCTGGCAGGTGTACAGTTTAGCCCTCTCTCCAAGGAGCACATGGACCAGAGTCACGAGCTCTACTTCAAAATGTTACTTACACGCAGACATGGAAAGACAAGCATCACAACAAAGGTTGTCAGGACCAGGGGTAGGATGAGAGTGGTGGAATTGAAGACAGGTGCAGGGACACTGTTGTGGAGTGGGCACGGGAGGCTGCTGGCCTTCCATCCAGGTGGGGCCTGGGGACTTGGCCTGCTGTGTCTTTGGTCTAGAATTTGATCTGGGAATGATATAAAAGGCCTTTCTCAGGCCATTTCCAGAATGGTGCCATTTGTCTGCCAACCCAAAATACTGAAGGCTCGCCAGAGGGGTGTGCCTGGCAGAGGGGAAGGGTAGACGGGCATGACCACAGACTTTGCCGCAGCTGGACGAGCCCCCTCTCTGTACAGTTCATCTGTCTTCAATCACCCACAGTGGTTACTCTTAAGGTTCCATAAAACAAAAGAAAACCTGGGCATATTACAAGTCGGTAAAAATCAGGGAAGGAGAGCAAACAGAAATACACAGGACAACAGGAACACGGTAGAATCACGGGTGGCTGAGTCAGCAGCCACTGGAAGAGGACTAG